TTGTCTGTGCCTAGCTTATTTCACTTAACATACTGTCTTCCAGGTTCATCCATGTTGCTGTAAATGACAGGATTTCATTCTTTTTTATGGCTGATTAGTATTCCATTGTGTATATATATGCTAAATTTTCTTTATTCATCTGTTGATGAACATTTATGCAGATTTTATATCTTAGCTATTGTGAATAGTGCTACAATAAACATGGGAGTGCAGATGTCTCTTCAACATACTGATATCATTTCCTTTAGATATATACCCAGTAGTGAGATTGATGGATCATATATTTCAATTTTTGACTTTTTGAGTAACCTCTATACCGTTTTCCATAATGGTTATAATAATTTATATTCTTGCTCACAGTGTGTAAGTGTTCCCTTTTCTCCACATGCTTGCCAACACTTGTTATCTTTTGTCTTTTTGATAATGGCCATTCTAACTAGAGTAAGATGATATCTCACTGTGGTTCTGATTTGCATTTCTGTAATGATTAGTGATGTTGAACATTTTTTTATATACCAGGTTGGGCATCTGTGTGTCATTTCATTTTAAAAATTGGATTTTTTTTTTTTTTTTTTTGCTGTTGAGTTTTTTGAGTTCCTTATGTATTTGGATATTAATCCGAGGGATATATTTCTTTTGAAGAAATTATTTTTCCATAGAATATTTCTGACTCTTAGGGAAAAAAATCAATTGAGAAGCTTTTAAATAAAAGAAAGCAATTTTATTGGGTTTTCCAAAAAGAGATAAAATACTCAACTCCCTTGCTTTAAAAAAACAGATATTAGCTAAACCTTTATTAACACAAATAAATATATAAATAATTACATTTAATATTCTGATGAAATAGGAAACAAGAAAATTGAGTAGGGGAGCAGAAATAACGAAATGGAGACAGCAGCAGAAGATAGAGAGAGGTGAAGAGGAGAACACCCTCAGATAAAGAGACTAGGGCACAGAAAGAGAAAAAGAGATAGAGACAAATAAATGAGGAAACATGTCAGGCTTGGAGGTGAATATGTGCATAACTTGGTAACTATTGAGCTCCATCATGAGTATGCATTTTTGTCTAGGGAACAATCATTATAGCTGGAATAATATAATTGTATTTCAGGGAGAGGAGATGCTAAATCCCTCCAGACCTGTAATTTAGGGCCTGAGTATCCAAGTTAGCACCATTGATGAATTTATAAGTCATTAAAAAGACAAAAAATAAACTCAGTCCTAAAGCCTAGCCCCTCTACCCAATGGATGGCCTCATTGGAGTTGGAAAGAGTGTTACCCGAACAGAGTCAGGGTTCCACTAGAATGAAGGAAGCAAGCAGTGGACACTGGTGGGCAATTCACAGTGTTCACTACGAATAACTGCAATGGGCAGAGTGCTGGGTCTGACACCAGAGGAAAAGAGAAACACAATTTCTTCTATAGGTTTGGAGAGAGAGACAAATACCTAAGCATGGTAAAACGTCATGAATGTTAAATAGAAGTGCAAATCATGACCAGACCTTTTCTGGGCGGGAGGTGGGGTTTGGAAGGGTGGGAAAGTTAGGTTTTTTGGTTGTCTTGCAGAATCCTCTTCCGTGGCTTATACTCTTTGCTGTTCAGTGACCCTTAGCTGGGAGCCCAGTGAGATGACCAGGGTAAGGGTATTTAACCTTTCTTGTCTTGGATGCTGCCTCCCTTAGAGGTCTGTCCCACACAGACATTCCTCTGTTCCCTAATGCTTTCTTCTCCTTTCTATTTTCTCTTTAACTTGTTCCCTGTAGGTGTCCTCGGTGCCCTTTTGTTGTCCTGATTCTATCTTGGGATGTTTCATGAATTGCACTTCCATTCTCTCATAGATGAATCTCATTTCGCATATTCTCTCCTTTAATTTTGTTGATTTCACTGCCTCACTTGTCTGATGGATGCCAGACTTTTACTTCCACTCTGTTCTATTGGCCTTGCTGAGGAATGAGGTGAGGAGGATCCCATAAATGGGTCAGTGTTGAGGGCAGGAGGGAAATCATAAGGGACTTTTACTTGGTTTGGCAGCTGGCTTCCTCCCAGAGCCTGATTATTGGCACCGCTTCGTCAGATATTTAATACTTTTTTCACATTTAAACAAAAAATTCATATTTTGGCATTAATTATTAATATTTTCATATTAATTAGAACATTTGAAACATTTCTTTCTAATATTCCTCAGGAATGACCTAGCTTTATGATATTAAAGCAGCATTTACCTGCCCTTCTTCTCTGGCTTATAATATGAAGTACCTGTCCATAGGCTCTGAATGAATGCATCACACCCAAATTACTTCTCTCCAATTCCTACACTTAATGCATGACCAGTGACAGATGGATAGGAATGGGAACTAAAAAGAATGACCTGCCGTGTGGCGATACAGGACTTTTCTAGGAAGGAGGAAGCAACTGGACTGGCCTTTAAAAAATGAGGTATGTAGTTAATAAAAAAGTATGAGGATGAGGAGTTCTGGAGATGAGGAAACAGCTGGATCTGAAAAATGGAGGCATAAAAGTGTATATTCTGTGCAGGAAAACTTACACTTGAAAACTGAAATGCGTTTTTACAAGTTGGTGATTGTCTCCTTAAATATTTTCTTCTTTGTCCTGGTATAAAATACTTCCTCATGAAAATATTTTTAACTAAATCTAGTAGGGCAGGGATCCCCCAATCTTATTTTTAATTCTCGACTTGATTCTGTAGTTAGGAGCAACAAATGAAATTGGGTTTAATTATATTGGTTCTTTTAGTTTAAAAATAAAGGTAAGTGATGACACCATGTAGTGAATCAGCACCTCAGAGTGGAGATAGGGGTTGCTGGGTGGGCGTACAAAGTAATTTTTGCTAGGGAGAATTATGGCTAATAAAGGATATTTGATTTTAGTTATGTCTTAATTCTTCATGTACCAAATTAAAGTTCCAGGCCAAGAAATTAATTTCATATCCTGGTGATTTCCCCAAAGTATCCATCATTATATGGTAATTCTCTTAAAGCCTGGTAATATAAAACTACAAGTCATCCTAATTCTACATATTAAAATCTGATTGTGTTTCTTTGCTGTCTTTTATTGCTTCTCATCCTTCTCTCTTGCCTATCTAATATTTTACTGCTAAATGAAAGGAAAGGAACTAATAGACACCTTGCCCTTACATTTCATGGAAAGATCAATTAAGATGCTTGTGGGAAATTTGCTACAACCCTTAGGTTTGGAGACAACTACAGATTTGTTCCTCTGTCCTGCCTTTTAATGATTATAGAATATTTGAAAGAAATGTATCTAAAAGAAAAGGGGACACTGCCTTAGCTCAGGATAGTTTCCTGGTTCCATGTTTTGTGCCTGCAGCATCTCGCTGGGGAAAGAGATGCCAAAAATGATGTGAAGCCTGTGGGTGTTTGTGGTCAATCAAAGAGCAGCCAGTATTGCCTTAATGTTCTTTGAAATCTTCAGAGGAACTTTTATCAAATTATGACAGGCAACATTTCTTATTCCCTTGACCTTCTTGAAAAAAATGTGTTTATATCCTACCTTTACATTAAAAGCCTAAGTCATCAAATATTATAGTTGGAAGAAATCTTAGACATCATTCAGACCAGATCATGTGACAAGCTTAGTGACTTGGAGGGAAATTCAGATTTTATTTTGCATAATGAATTTAGAAAAAAAAACTCAATAGAAGTCAGGAAATAGAATCATAGATATAAGAGTAAGTTGTTCTCAGTGTAAAGCACAGCTCTTCTCCAGAGAGGCTTCGATTTGGAAAGGCCAAAAAGAACAGTGAGAAGACCTAGAGCCAGAGGAAGTCTAAAATCATGGAAGCTTTTCAATTAAATTTTAGTTTTAATTTAGAACATAGCCTTAGGGGTGTCAGGTTAGGTATCTGATATCCTAATATGGATGGCTCCAAGGGATGACTGGGAGAAAATTGCAACCACAGTAAATGCCACAAAGGTAGAAATGAGTTTTCAGAAATATTTCTCTTTCCTATTAATCTGTTTCACTACTGAAATTCAAGAATACTCAATTTTTTATCTTTAGATAGCCATATTCATGTATGCCTTATTAATCATATTGGTTTATTCCCCCCCCCATTGACTGTAAAACAAATTTTAGGTTATGAAATTATTTTCATCGTGACTGGCGCATTGGGAAGGCAATATTCTCTCAGGGAAATTTTTTGAGCTCAACATTAAATGCAAAACAAAGCAAAAACTCTAAATATAAAATATTCTATTGCCCTTTGGAATCATGGACTACATTGAAATAAAATCATGTAAAACGTTGATGACCTCAAGTCTCCAAATGCAAATATGCTGCCAGAAATTTTATTCTCTTGGAACTAAATTTATTGAAGGAAATGCACCTCCAAGTGACCCTGCCTGGATTCAGTCTTAGTGACAGAACAGTATGAAGGGATGTTGCTGTGTAACAAATTGCTATAAACTTAGAAGCTGAAAACAACACTGATTTGTTATCTCACGGTTTTGTGGGTCAGAAGTGGGGATGGGCTCTTTTGCTTAGGGTCTCACATGACTGAGATCAATGTGTTCATGGGCTGAGCTCTGGGGAAGAATTTGCTTATAAGCTGATTCGGGTTGTTGGCAGGAACAACCTATTTCTATTTCTGTGCACAATGCCATTGGAATTTTGGTAGGGACTTCACTGAATCTGTGAACTGCTTTGGGTAGTATGGACAATTTAACAATATTAATTCTTTTAACCCCTGAACGTGGGATGTCTTTTCATTTATTTGTGTCTTCTTTAATTTCCATCATCAATGTCTTGGGGTTTTCAGAGCACAGATATTTTACCTTCTTAGTTAAAATGTATTCCTAGGAATCTTAATGCTTTGAATGCTATGAAAATTGGATTGTTTTCTTAATTTCTTTTTAGGTTGCTGTTAGTGTATAGAAATGCAACTGATATTTGTGTGTTGATTTTGTGTTTAATAACTACTGAATCCATTTATTAATTCTAACAGTATTTTGGTGGAGACTTTAGGGTTTTCTGTATATATGATGATGTCACTGCAAACAGAGACAATTTAACTTCTTCCTTTCTCATTTAGATGCCTTTTATCTTTCCTTGCCTAATTACTCTGGCTAGGAATTTCAGTATTATGTTGAATAAAAGTAATGAGAGTGGGTACCTTGTCTTGTTTCTGATCTTAGAGGAAAATTTTTAGCTTTTCACCATTGCATATGATGTTAACTTTGGGCTTATCCTATATAATTTATATTATGTTAAGATACATTTCTTCTATGTCTAATTTATTGATAGTTTTAAAATCATACGTAGATGTTGAATTTTATCAAGTGCTTATTCTGTATCTACTGAGATGATAGCATTTTTTAATCCTTCATTTTGTTAATGTATTATATTGCATTTATTGATTGTGTATATTGACCCATCCTTGCATCCCAGGAATAACTCCAACTTGGTCATGGTGTATAATCTTTTTACACAATCCTGTTGAATTCTATTTGCTAGTAATTCTTTTGAGGATTTTTGCATCTATGTTCATCAGCAATATTGTCCTGTAGTTTTATTTTCATGTAGTGCCCTTATCTGGCTTTAGTGTGAATGTGATGCTAACCTCATACAATGAATTTGGAAGTGTTCCTTTCTTATAATTTTTTGAAAGAGTTTGAGAAAGATTAGTCTTAGTTCTTTAAATCCTTGGTAAAATTCATCTGTGAAGCCATCTGGTACTGTACTTTTCTTTGTTGGGAGGTTTTTGGTTACTGATTCAATCGTCTTACTCATTGGTCTGTTCAGATTTTCTATTTTTTCATAATTCAGTCTTGATAGGTTGTATGTGTCTAGAAATTTGCCCATTTTTTCCAGGTGATCCAATTTGTTGGCATATAATTGTTCATAGCAGTGTCTTATAATCTTTTATATTTCTGTGGTATTAGTTGTAATATCTCCTGTCTCCTTTGTAATTTTATTTATTTGAGTCTTTTTTCTTCTTGGTTAGTGTAGCTAAAAATTTGGCAATTTTGTTTTTATATAAAAAAAAAACCCGGGCCCTTTGTTTGGTTGATCTTTTACATTGTCTTTCTAGTCTCTATCATTTCTGTTCTAATCTTTATTATTTCCTCTCCTTTGCCAACTTTGTGCCTTTTTTTCTAGTTCTTCAAGGTGTAAAAGTTGTTTATTTGAAATATTCTTCTTTTCTTAATGTATACATTTATCACCCTAAACTTCCCTCTTTGACTTGCTTTTGCTGTACAACATAAGTTTGAGTATGTTGTGTTTTCATTTTTGTTTGTCTCAAAATAGTTTTTGATTTCTTCTTTGACCCACTGATTTTCAGTAGTGTATTAATATATTAGTCCATTCTCACACTGCTATAAATAATTGCTCAAGACTACAGTAATTTATAAAGAAAAGAGTTTTAATTGACTGACAGTTCTGCATGGCTGGGGAGGCGTCAGGAATCTGATAATCATGGTGGAAGGGGAAGCAAACACGTCGTTCTTCACATGATGACAGGAAGGAGAAGTGCTGAGCAAAACAGGGAAAACCCCCTTATAAAACCATCAGATCTTGTGAGAACTCACTATCATGAGAAAAGCGTGAGTGTAACTGACCCAATCATTCAATTATCACCCACAGCATGTAGGGATTATGAGGAAGGTGATATTTGAGTGGGGACACAGCCAAACCATGTCAGTTGATTTACACCTATTTGTAAATTTTTCAAAATTCCTTCTGTTACTAATTTCTAGTTTCATACCATTATGGTTGGAAAAGATACTTGATATGATTATAGCCTTCTTAAGTTTGTTAAGACTTGTTTTGTGGCCCAACATATGATCTATCCTGGAGAGCATTCTGTGTGCAGTTAAGAGAAATGTGTACTCTGCTGCTGTTTGGTGGAATGTTCTCCATTTGATCTGTAGTGCTATTGAAGTCTGCTATTTCCTTAAAGATATTCTGTCTGGTTGATTTATTTATTGTTGAAAGTTGAGTGCCGAAGTCTTCTACTAATATTGTGTTGCTTCTGTTTCTCTCTTCAGTTCTGTTAATATTTGTTATTTGTATTTATTTGCTCTAATGTTGGGTGTAAATATATTTGCAGTTGGCATATCCCCTTGATGAATTGGCCCCTATGTCATTATATATTGACCTCTTTGTCATGACAGATTTTGACTGAAAGTCTATTTTGTTTGACATAAGTATAGCCATACCTGCTTTCTTTAGGTTTCCATTTCCATGGAATACCCCTTCCCATTCTTTTATTTTTAGCCTGTTTGTGTCCTTAAGGCTAAAGTGACCCTATACTGTAAGCAGTATATAGTTGAATTTTTTTAAAGTTTTTTCAACCACTGTGGATTTTTTGATTAGAGATTTTAATACATTTACATTTAAAGTAATTATTGATAGGTAAGGTCTTATTCTTTCCATTTTTTAATTGTTTTCTATTTATTAAATCTTTTATTCATTTTCATATCTTTTAATATATTTCCTTGTGACTTGTTGATTTTTTGTAGTGATATGCTTGGATTCCTTTCTGTTTATCTTTTGTGTGTCTACTAGTGGCTCTTTCTCTCTCTTCCCTCCCTCCCTCTTCTATCTCTCCTTCCTTCCTTTCTGCCTTCTCTCCCTCCCTCCCTCCCTCCCTTTCTTGCCTGCCTGCCTGCCTGCCTGCCTGCCTGCCTGCCTTCTTTCTTTCTTTCTTTCTTTCTTTCTTTCTTTCTTTCTTTCTTTCTTTCTTTCTTTCTTTCCTTCCTTTCTTTCTTTCTTTCTTTCTTTCTTTCTTTCTTTCTTTCTTTCTTTCTTTCTTTCTTTCTTCTTCCTTTCTTTCTTTCCTTTCTTTCCTTTCCTTTTCTTTCCTTTTCTTTCTCTCTCTTTCTACCTTTCTCTTTTTCTCTCTCTTTTTTCTTTCTTTTTCTTTTCTTCCCTCTCTCCCTCCCTCCCTTCCTCCATCCTTCCCTTTTTCCTTCCTTCTTTCCCTTTCTTTTTTCCTTTTTTTCTTGCTTTCTTGCTTTCTCTGTTTATCCCTCCCTTCCTTCCTTCCTTCCTTCCTTCCTTCCTTCCTTCCTTCCTTCCTTCCTTCCTTCCTTCCTTCCTTCCTTCCTTCCTTCCTTCCTTTCTTTTCCTTCTTTCCCTTCTTCCTTCCTTTCTTTTGAGACAGGGTCTCACTCTGTTACCCAGGCTGGAGTACAGTGGTGCAATCTTGGCTCACTGCAACCTCTGCCTCCCATGTTCAAGCATTTCTCCAGCCTCAGCCTCCCAAGTTGCTGGGACTACAGGTATGCATTATTACACCTGGATAATTTTTGTAATTTTAGTACAGATGGGGTTTCACCATGTTTCCCAGGCTGGTCTTGAACTTCTACGCTCAAGCTATCTGCTTGCCTTGGCCTACCAAAGTACTGGGATTACAAGTAGAGTCACTGCCCCTAGCCATGGCTTTTTCTTTATGGTTACCATGAAGTTTACATAAAACATATTATGTTATAACATTGTATTTTAAGCTGATAAGAATGTAACTACAATTTGCATTAAAAGACTCAACACTCTTACTTTTCCCTCCACATTTTATGCTATTGATAGCACACTTTAAATATTTTTATATTGAATATCCATTAACAAATTATTGTAGCTATAGTTATTTTTAATACTTTTGTCCTGTAACTTTTAATCTAGACTTACAAACTGATATACACACTAGCATTAGAGTTTTCTGGTTTGACTATGTATTTACCTTTATCAGTGAGTTTTATCTTTTTATGTGTTTATTCTTTTTATGTTATTATGATGTTTAGAACTAAGTGTCAACTTGATTGGATTGAAGGATACAACATATTTATCCTGGATGTGTCTGTGTGGGTGTTGCCAAAAAAGATTAATGTTTGAGTCAGTGCACTGGGGAAGGCAGATTCACCCTTAATCTGGTGGGCACAATCTAATCAGCTACCAACAAATATAAAGCAGACAAAAAAAAAAAAAGTGAAAAGGAGAGATGGGCCTAGCCTCCCAGCCTATATCTTTCTCCCATGCTGGATGCTTCCTGGCCTTGAACACTGGACTCCAAGTTCTTCAGTTTCGGGACTTGGTCTGACTCTCCTTGCTCCACAACTTGCAGACAGCCTATTGTGGGACCTTGTGATCATGTAAGTTAATATTTAATAAACTCCCCTTTATATACAATAGGGTATATATATATATCCCCTTTATATATATAGGATATATATGTGTATGTGTGTGTGTATATATCTCCTATTAGTTCTGTTCCTTTAAGAGAATCCTAATACAGTTACTTAGCATCTTTCCATTTATGTGAAAACATCCCTTTAGCATTTCTTGTAAGGCATATCTAGTGGTGATAAACTCCCTTAGCTTTTGTTTGTTTGGGAATGTCTTTATCTCTCCATTTCTGATGAACAGCTTTGCTGGTAGTAATCTTGGTTGGATTTTTATTCTCTTTCAGAACTTTGAATATACCATCTCACTCACTCCTGGCCTACAGTTTTTTGCTGAGAAGTCTCCTGATATCCTTATGATGATTCTCTTGTATATGATGAGTGCCTTTTTTCTTATTGCCTTCAAGAGTATCTCTTTGTCTTTGACTTTTGACAATCTAATTTTATGTTTTGGCGTATTTTGCTTTGGATTGATCTTACTTGAGATCTTTTGAGTTTCATTAATGAGAATGTTCATATCTCTCCTGAGATTTGGGAAGTTCTAAACAATTATTTCTTTAAATGAACTTTCTGCTCCATTGTCGGTCTCTCTTCTTCTTTTGAAATTCCTATAAATAGTATATTTGTTTGTTTAATGATGTCACATTTGTTCCTAATGATTTTTTACTAATTTTATTCTTTTTTTCTTTTTGTTTCTCTAATCAACTAATTTTTAATGCCCCGACTCACACTGTTCTTTCTTCTGCATGATTGAGTTTGCTCTTGAAGTTCTTTATTATATTTTTTAGTTCTCTTATTGTATCACTAGGATTTCTGTTTGGTTCTTATTTATGGTTTCTATTTCTTTATTAAAATTTTTATTTTGTTCATATATTGTTTTCCTAGTATTGTTTAATTATCTATGTTCTCTTGCATTTCATTGAGCTACTTTAAGATGATTATTTTAAATTGCTTGTAAGGCAATTTATATATGTCAATTTCTTTGGGGATGGAGCTTTATTTGTTTCCTTTGGTGGTGTATGTTTGCCTGATTCTTTGTCATTCATGAAGCCTTGTGCTGGTGTCTGTGTATCTGAAGTAGCAAACATCTTTTTCAGTCTTTTGGCAGGTAAAGATCTTCTGTCAAACAACTAGTCTGTTGGGATTATCTCTGGGATCACAGTTGAGTGGAGTTGGAGCTGAGTCACACGGCTACTGCTCATTCTGCACTGGGTCCATGTTTGACAGGCCTGTTACCAGGGGCTCCAGTAGGTGTGGGTCCTGTCTGGTCCTTGGGCAGACTGAGCTGCCTCCAGGTTCTTGGTCAGTAGGTCTGGTGCTGAGACCAGGCTCTGTTTCATGGTCCACAGTTGGTTTTGCTGACAGTGAACCTGTTACTAGGCATGTAGAAAGGTATGCTTTCCTCTGAGTCTAGGGGAGTTTCTACTGGGTCACTAGGTAGGTACTTGAAGAGACAGTGCTGGCTCTGGATCAAGGCTGAGAGGGGTCAACTAAGTTACACGGCTGCTTTAGAATCCAGAGCCAATTCTGAGAGCTTCAGTCCTGCCTCCAGAGGCAGCGATGAGTGTGCCTCTAGGGGTTTCTTGGGCAAGCAGGATTGCCACTGGACCAAAGCCCAATGAGGCTAAAGCCAAGTTACAGGGCTGTTTAAGGATCTGATGTGGGACTGAGGTTGGCAATCTTGTTTATTGGAACACAGATGAGTGTGAGTTCAAGTGGGTTCCTGAGTGGGCATGAATGCTCTCAGACTACAGCTGAGAGGGTCTGGAGCCAAGTTACAGATCCGTTTCAGGATCTACTGTGGGAACAAGGTTGGCAAGCCTGTGTCCTGGGGCATGACTGCGTATGACTTCTGGCGGGTCCCTTGCTGAGTAGACCTGCTTTTAGGCTGTAGCTGAGAGGGACTGGAGATGAGTTATAGGGCTCTTTCAGGGTCTGCATGGGACTGAGGTTGGCAAGTCACAGAAGAGTCTGACGACCAATGGGTCCCAAGGAGGGCACAACTGCTTACAGACCACAGCTAAGAGGAGCTGGAGCCAAGTTACAAGGCAGTTTCATGATCTGCTTCTGAGATTATGGGTCTACCATCTGAGACTCATGTGTATATGATCCCTCTCAGATCCCTTGGCAGATGGTTCTAGTGGCAGGACCAAGACAAGTGAGGTTATATCTGATACATAAGGAGATGAGGCTGTTTTTTCACATCTGTAGCCTGTATTGTGGTGAGTGACACTGCCATCTGAGTGCAAACCTGTTCTCAAGGCAGCCTTCTTACGTCTTGGGCTCCACCAGGGTTCTCAGTCTCCTGCCAGGGCTTTCACAGTGACACTTTTATCTACATATGGCTGAAAATTCTTGTTACTGTAGGAGGGTAGGGGATACAAGCAGGGGACCTGCTATTCCATCATCTTTCTGACATTCCTATTAATCTGTTTAATATATGCACTTCTTGATGTAGAGTAATACTAACTTTCATAAAATTGAAAAAACCTGCTGTATTTTAAAGATTTATATACCTAAATTATTTCTATAATAGTAACTTTTTGTGTAATGTGTTTAAGTAGATGTATACAACTGCTTTGTTGATCACTTATATGGACAGAGGGAGGAAATTCCCAAGTGAAGATTTAAACTTTCTTCTTTCTTTAAGTTTTAAATTATGTTTTTCTTTAGATGTTATGGTTAAAAATTTAATCAGTCTTTGATCTCTCCTTGGATGAAACAGATTCATCCAGTAATAGCACAGTGAAGTATGTGGTTTAGTATAATCTCTGCTTGTACTGCAAACAGAAGAGAAATAAAGGATCTCTAGACACAAAATTAATTGCTCTGTATCAGGTTGCATTGTCATTTAAAGTGAATTTATCTTTGCATTATGACTGTATCTTCCATTATTTGAAAACTTGAGGCATGTTCATTTTTAGTATTGGGAGTTTCTATTGTCAAGCTGACTGCCATTATTTGTTATTTGTTGAATCTTAACCTCAAACAAAGGCATTGGCAAGATCTTTTTGGGGAAAAAGACTGATTCCTTGTAATAGAGATAGGCTTTTATTTTCATTTTCAAAACACCTCTATGCTCCACATTTAATTTTGAAAATGCTATAAAGATATGGCTCATGTTACTGATTATTTCACTAAATTGTTAAATGTTAATGTTCCAAATTTGGCAGTGTAAACATTGTGAATCCTAAAACTGATTCAGAAAATTTCATAGAATCACAATTTTAATTGGGCTACCTGATCTTATTAATTCCATTTCACCTCATCTCCTTAATCTACCTAAGTATATTCCCAATCCTTGATATAGATTTCCAATTAAAAAGAGGGAGAATGTTTTGTGTCTTTTATATTTATTCCCTAATTGCTTTTAGGTTCTCCAAAGGTTCTGTTTTGTCCAGGTGGTTGTTTTGAAGCATACTGTGCTTTCAGAATCTCTTGAAATATTTACGGATGATGAATCTGCAGCCAAAACACTCAATAAACAGCACCTGCAGAACTTAGACTTTGTCTAAATTTGGAAGTCAGAACTGAGGACTGGTGATTTTGATAGTTCTAGGGAATATGACTTTTGGAAGAGGATTTCAGAAATTTGAAGTAAAAGCTTAAATCATATTTACAAGGTAACTGCTAGAGTTCTTCTTATATAATGTATTTTGTCATTTTATTATGGTTACTTCTTTTGAAATTTAACACGTTAGGTTGCAAATCTTTTTGGTAACTAAGAGATTTAGTAAATGTTATAAATTTGCAAAACTGTAGCTTGAAGTTAACTTGGGGCTGAAAGTAAGGATCTCCTGTACTCATTACCTGGCAGGCTTGGGCCTTGCCTATGCTACTCTCACCCTCCTTCCAGGTGTGATGATAAGTGTTTAACAATTGCCTCACCAAAAATAGGTGAATAAATTTTTAAAAAGCCTGATTTGTAGCATTTGCTGATTTTCATGTAAATACGTCCTCTGGCTGATATCAAGTTATCAAAGATTTAACTGCTGGCTTTCACAATTTCTGAAAATTTAGTAATTGGCTCTCATGAGCTCACACAAACCTGGTACAGCATACTACTACCCGAATCTATATTATCACCTGTCTCAGGAATCCACAATTCCAAGAATATTCATCTTTATTTGTGTATAACTTGGTATTTTTCCCATGTTGTTACTATATTAGATTCACGAAAATGCTGAAACTTTAAGAAAGTTCTCACTCTTCTAATTTGTATGCAATAGAAACTGCCAATAGCAACTTCCCATAAATACCTTAGAATGGCTCCTTTGCGTTGAAAGCAAGAAATTCTATTTATAGGGAGAGCATGATTTCTTATCTATTCCTCTCTCCCCTGAAAGAAAGAAATGAACATGTATATGTGTGAGAGAGGAAAAGAAAATGGAATTTTAATATAAAGATAAAATTTAGTCTGATGCTGTTCATTTGTCTTTGTAGCCTTATATGAACTTCTAAAGTATAGGCACTTCGTATCCTGGTAAAGAGTGGCTTCTCAAAAAGGTTTCCTGGAGGAATGAGAAAGCTGCTTGCCTAACCTGAAGACAGAGAGTCACTTAAACTCTTCTAGAAGTTGCAAGAGCTCTCTGAGGATGCTTTACCTAGAGGTCTTAAGATAGTGATGCAGAATAAGAGAAAAAAATGATGAGAAAATGGCCTTATAAGCTCTCTTTCATTCTGCCATCTCCCACCACTCTTGTAATGAAGTAGACTTCTAATAGATTTGGGGCTGCAGTCTTCTGCTGTGAATAATCAGGCTGCAATCAGCAAAGAAGCTGGGGGATGAGAAGTATGGAGCCTTTTTGGTCAATACTAGTTATATTAATCAGAGCTTTCTAGAAGGACAGAGCTAATAGGATAGATATAAATCTAAAGGGGAGTTTATTAAGGAGTATTAACTCACATGATCACAAGGTCCCACAATTGGCTGTCTGCAAGCTGAGGAACAAGGAAGCCAGTCTGAGTCCCAAAGCTGAAGAATTTGGAATTTGATGTTCGAGGGCAGGAAGCATCCAGCAAGGGAGAAAAATGTAGGCTGGGAGGCTAAGCCAGTCTAATCTTTAAACGTTTTTCTGCCTGTGTTATAATCTGGCCATGCTGGTGGTTGATTAAATGATGCTCACCCAGATTAAGGGTTGGTCTGTCTCTCCAAGCCCACTGATTCAAATGTCAATCTCCCTTGGCAGCACCCTCACAGACACACCCAGGATCAATGCCTTGCATCCTTCAATCCAATCAAGTTGATACTCAATATTAACCATCATACTGGTTATGTTAATTGAGGGAAAGAATGAAGACTACCCAAAATTATAAAAATAAAGTGCCTATTCTCTTGGCTTTGCTTATCATTTATTTACTAGTATTAAGAGGATTGTGACTTATTTCACCTGGGCAAATGATTGTATTGTGATTACTTTGTCAGGAACATTCAGATTTCAGTGATCATCAGAGCCATAACTACAGAGTCTTTAAAACAATAAAAATATGAACACCTTTGATTATATTATCTTAAAAGAACAAAAATTCTTGGGTGTACAGGTATTCAGATATTTTCTTAAGTTGTGCTTTCACCATGAACTATCTATTTTCTTTTGTCAAATTAATATCCAAAGAAAGTGGGTTTTTTTTTTGGTGCATTTAGTATAATTTGGGGAAATTTGAAGTTCTATTGGCATAAAAATTTTGGAAATTCTTATTTCCTTATTTTCAGAAACCATTGCATGTACCATCAGAGTTGAATTGATTCATGATTATTGAGATATGAAAATAGTCTAATTTCTCTGTTCTTCAGGCATAATTATAGAGTCCTATCAATTTAAGGCAAGGTAATTCTAATTAAATACGAGGGAATAATTAGGTAGGTTGTTGTGACCTAGTTAGTAAAGGTTGGATAAGTTGCAGTTTGAACAGAAACCAAAGTTAATCATATGGGAGATTGAGATTGTTGGTATGTATGAAATATCCTTAGATTCAGAGTAAATTTCATGTAGGCAAAATTCATAAATATGGATAGTTTGTAACACTGTCCTCAGGCAAACTTTACAGTTTGAATATGGTGGTGGGGGGGGCATGGGCACAAATATTTATTCCTCACAGTTTGCTAATACAGGGAATTATTTTGATTGATTTAAAAAGGTTAAACCAATTTTGCATTCTGGAGATAATCCTCCCTGGGTCATGATGTATTATCTTTTTTATATATTATTGGATTCAGTTTGCTCAATTTTAAGAGTATTTACGTGTACGTTTGAGAGGAATACTGATAAATAATTCTGTTTTCTTGTAATGCCTTTCATTCTTCTAGCAGAATAATGCTGGTTTTACAGAATGTGCCGGAAAACATTTAATGACCTTCAATTTTCTGAAAGAGTTTGGGTACAATTGATAATGTTTCTTTTTAAAATGCTCATAAGAATTCATTAGTGAAGTCACGTGGGCCTGGAGTTTTCTTTGTGATGCAGGTGATTTCTGCATTTCCAACCGAGGTACCTGGTTCATCCCATTGGGAACTGGTTAGACAGTGGGTGAAACCCATGGAGTGTGAGCTGAAGCAGGGTGGGGCGTCACTTCACCCAGGAAGGGCAAGGGGTCGGGGAACTCCCTAGCTTAGCCAAAAAAAAAAGCCCAGAGGGACTGCACCATGAGGAACGGTGTGCCCTGTCCCAGATACTACACTTTTTCCATGGTCTTTACAACCCACAGACCAGGAGATTCCCTCTGGTGCCTATACCACCACCCCGAGTTTCAAGCACAAATCTGATGGCTATTTGGGCAGATACTGAGCTAGCTGCAGGAGTATTTTTGGCCATACGCCAGTGGCACCTGGAATGCCAGTGAGACAGATCCACTCACTCCCCTGGAAAGAGGCTGAAACCAGGGAGCTGAGTGGTCTAGTTCACTGGATCCCACCCCTGTGGAATCCAGCAAGCCAAGATCCACTGACTTGAAGTTCTTGCTGCCAGCACAGTAGTCTGAAGTCAACCTGGTATACTCGAACTTGGTGCAGGGAGGGGCGACCACCATTACTAAGGCTTGAGTAGGCAGTTGCCCCCTCACGGTTTAAACAAAGCCACAGAGAAGTTCCAACTGGGAGAAGCCCTCTGCAGCTCAGGAAAGCCGGTGTAGCCAGACTGCCTCTAGATTCCTCCTTTCTGGGCAGAGCATCTCTGAAAAAATGGCAGCCATCCCAGTCAGGGGCTTACAGATAAAACTGCCATCTCCCTGAGACAGAGCACCTGGGAGAAGGGGGAGCTGTGGGTGCAGCTTCAGCAGACTTAAACCTCCCTTCCTGCTGCCTCTGTGCAAGGGATCTCCCAGCACAGTGTTTGAGCTCTGCTAAGGGGCAGACTGCCTTCTCAGGTGGGTTCCTGACCCCTGTATCTCCTGACTGGGAGACATCTCCCAGGAGGGGCTAACAGAAATCTCATACAGGAGAGCTCTGGATAGCATCTGTTAGGTGACCCTCTCTGACAAAGCTTCCAGAGGAAGAAACAGGCAGCAATCTTTGATGTTCGGCAGCCTCCACTGGCGATAGTCAGGCAAACGGGATCTGGAATGGACCTCCAGCAAACTCCAGCAGACCTGCAGCAGAGGGGCCTGTTAGAAGAAAAACTAACAGAAAGTAATAGGCCTTCAATAAAATTCAACACCCCTTCATGGTAAAAACTCTCAATAAACTATATATTGATGGAATGTATCTCAAAATAATAACTATGAAAAACCTACAGCCAATATCATACTGAATGGGCAAAAACTGAAAGCATTCCCTTTGAAAACTGGCACAAGACAAGGATTCCCTCTCTTACCACTTGTATTACCACCCTCTATTCCCTCTCTTACCATAGTATTAAAAGTTTTGGCCAGAGCAATCAGGCAAGAAAAAGAAATAAAGGGTATTCAAATAGGAAGAGAGGAAGTCAGATTGTCTTTGTTTGTAGATGACATAATTGCATATTTAGAAAACCCCATTGTTTCAGCCCCAAATCCCCTTAAGCTGTTAAGCAAAGTCTCCATGAAGGCATTGAAGATTTCTTATTCTTTGTGACCTCAAAGAATGGTGCTTGGCATACAGGTAGGGGTCTAATAAATGTTGGTTGAATATACTTAGTAATCTTAGGTTTGTTATGTTTCCTTTTGGATCAAATGTTTATTATATCAGATATTACTTTTGCTTTAAAAAATGTAGTCAGATTCCTTTTACTGAAAATTTTATTACTGATTTCTAATTTCATTGCATTATTGTCAGAGTGTGGCCTATATATATTACCTATTAAAAAATTTATTGAGTTTTTCTTAAAGCTGTCACCGAAATTAGAAAAATACATTTTCTAAAGTTTTAAAAATATGATTTATTTTTCATAAACATTCTAGAGACAGTTTAAAGGACACTATATTCTTTGCGGGAAATGTAATGCTATGAACCCATAGAAATATATCTCTCACTATACTTAGTGTTCTGCTGATTTCTTCTTATATTTGCATTAGTCTTTGTTTGATGTGTTTTAATGCTATATTACTTAATGCATAATAGTTCATGTCTCATGCTTTTTATGAAAACAAAACAACTGTATGTATACTATTTACTTACTGGCTTTTATTTTTTGGCCTGAAACTCATACTTTTATATTAATATGATCGTTGATTGTTTTTAGGCAACCTTCTGCCTGGTACTTGGGTGATAATGGGAAATTGCCTGAACTTGAAGATAAGATTGGTTTATTAAAGTTTTAAAATACCCATAATAGTACAAAGTGATAACACAGAATATCAATTTAATGAAAGAATAACTTACAAAATAGAACATCTTTATTTTTTGGGTTGTTAATTTTGATTCATGTCCTATTATTCTGAAGTACATCTCAAATCAGACTTTATGAAACAGTGACATACACACTAATTTACTCTGAAAAAAAGATGTTTTAGTTCAGTAATGCCCCTTCTTGTGCATTTCTGTATTTCACAGACCCTTAGCAGAAAAGCCTAGAAATGAAATGTTAGAAAACAATCAATTTTTCACTGAAAATGAAATTGAAGGACCTCAAAAATTAAAATAAATATATTGGAAAATATGTGATGAACATATAATTTACTGTTTTTTAGTGTATCTAATTGTCATGTAGGGCAAGATATGTTTGCACTTGATTTAATGGAGGGGTTGATGTTTGATTTGGCTGATTTCATTTCTACCTACAATTCTAAACATGAAAATAAATGCTCATAAAAGTGCAATATTAGCGCCTTATATTACTTTCTAGCAGTTCTTAAAATATTCTGAGACTTAAAATTTTTTTGACTTAAAGTGAATCAGGCCCAGTGCAGTGGTTCATGCCTGAAATCCCAGCACTCTGAGAGGCCGAGGCAGGTGGATCATCTGAGGTCAGGAGTTAAAGACCAGCCTGACCGACATGGCAAAATCCTGTCTTTACTAAAAAAATACAAAATAGCTAGGTGTGGTGGTGCACATCTGTAATCCTACCTACTCAGGAGGCTAAGGCACAAGAATTGCTTGAAGCCTGGAAGTAGAGGTTGCAGTGAGCCAAGATTGCACCACTGCACTTCCAGGCTGGGCAACATAGCAAGACTCTGTCTCCAAAAAAAAAAGTGAATCAAATAACCTATTTTTGTATTGTCAGTAATCTCCAAACAGAAAGTGATGGAAGTATCTGTATTTCTCTAACACTGACCAATTATTTTTATGAGCACTTTCTCTAAAGTTAGAAAAACTATAAATGTAGTTTATCTACTGCTCTAAAAATACTACTGTGAAATCTTTCAATAATTTGTAGTCCTACTCTGTGGATTGGTTGTTTTTAAAAAGCTCATACTTGTCAAGAATGAAAAGGCTCAAAAGTGAGAAGGGATTTAAAAGATATAAATTGATTAAAGGAACAAATATATAAATGTAGTGGCAAATTGTAGCTAGTAATCAGATTTTAACCACCTCAATTC